TTCTAAATTACAAACAAAATATTTGTAGGTATATTTACGAAATGTATTCCGTATTAATAGGTTGTTAAGCTAACATTCCAAAAATGTGGAATGTATCTCATGACTGAACTATAATCATTGGCGTCCTTCAAAAAAATATGTTGTTTCATCTGTATTTTTGTTTATGTAAATATTGCGCGCATATATATATATATATATATATATATATATATACACGTATAATAAATGCCATTACTATCTGACAGATGACTAAACCATGTGATAATTAACACATGAGAATATGATAACGATTAAAGATGAAAACCTAATACATACTAATTAATTAATTAATTCCTTTAAGTTAATAAAACAAAAATTATACCATCGATCTTAATTATGTTAGCTTTAAAATTTAGAAAAAAATAGGTTGTGAATAATCTTTTTCAATAAATCGAAAAAAAAAATGAGGAGGCAAAATGGAAGAAGACCGTGAAGCACAACCGAAAAACAACATTACTGTCATTGCTACTGTTTTCAATACGGTGATTAAGCGATTACTTTATTAGATACTAACCAGTTTATTCTAACTTTAACTAGAATTTACGTTGTTTTAGGTTTGATCTCATCGAAACTACATTACAACAGGGTGTAATGTGGAAATTAATATTGTGGCTGTAAAGTGAAAGTAGAAATTACACTGCCGTCTGTGACTGAAAAGTGAAAAAGCTAATATATGTCCAGTATTTAGTTCCTCCAAACATTTTGTCTATGGACGCTTCAATAGAGAGGTAAAATTTCTTAATAAAACCATGGCAATCTAAATGCCAATTAGTCTTAAACCTTTTTCTCGAAATATGTGGAACTTAAAACCATAGTATTTTGCTGCTTATTCTCCTAAATAAGTAGACTACTAATTTTTGTATGTTTTTACACTACCCTGAACAATCTTGACATTATTGAGATAATAAATTCAAATCTTACACCGATTTCGGCTGTTATGTGGTAATACTAGCCTTAAAACAGTCAGTAAAGTTTTAAAAAAAAATAAGTATACAAACTCCTGACTAATCAATAATTTGCGTTAATCTGATTGGATACTGGTTGTTGATTTGAAGATAACAATTCTACAGTACATCTTGATTTACTTACATTTTAATAGGCTACCACTAAGTTGGTTATTTCTCAGTTCACCAGCACTACATACCTGTATGTCAAACATAACTTCGGATTATAATATCAATAACATCCAACAACAACTTTATTTAGATAAAAAAATTAACAAAGACTATGTGAATTTACATAGAATATATTTAAATTTATGAAGACTTTCAGTTGTTCACCTATCAATACATTATTATTTATAGTGAGAAAAATAAAAAGTGAATTGAAAATCATTGAGTAGCCTCCTTATTTTCTGATAAAATAATGTTAACACCCTTCTCTACCAAGCTAATTTAATTTGCATGTCAAGTTAACTACCAGTAAACATACGCATATGCACATAATTGGATGACAATACACTGTCTTTTATACGATACAATCGTAAATTTAACTACGAGAACTAAACACACTTTTTATATTACCTAAAAATATGTTATAAAGTTGCAAACGTTAGTGTACAAAAAATGAGCATTTTTCACAAGGATTAATAAGTAAACAGATGTATCAATGTTGTACTAGTAGTTATTATTACTTTAAAATCTGTATAATGTGTGTACTTTTATGTCCAGCCCACAGGCCTTCCCCAGCCACTGGACATTTTAATTAATCTATTCATCTCGAGTCATAATTCACTGCCTTTCAACAAGGCCAATCATTCGCACAACGCATGTCTGGCTTATTTGGTCCTGAAACCCCGCTCTAGAATACATGTTGGAGCATTTAATGTACAGATATTATGCCAAATGGGGCAACAGGCTTCGTTAGCTAGGACATTAGAATTTCGCTCAATCGATGTATGCTGCGTCTACGCGCATACAGGATCCTAGAAAAGTCATTATTCCGATTTCGCCTTGTCAAAACAAAGAAGCAGCTCGATTTACACTTCGTGTATCTGTTAGCCCTGAGGCTGCTTCCAGGGGACTCGCTGGTGCAGGTATAGCATTGAGTCGTATGGCAGAACTAGCTCTCCTAGACTGGATCCCAGTAGATAGTCGCTTGTCCGCTGTCCGACTGAACGGGACAGATAGGGACACCGTCGTTGCCTCTTCGTCGTATCTGCCTATGCCCCCACTGACTGCAGTTCAGATGAGCTCTACTGAAAGCTTGCGGACCTCCCCCGAAAAATTAGGCGCACTGATGTAGTAATAATGGCTGGTGACTTTAATGCTCAAGTAGGTACACTAAGTGAAAATGAAAGACACCTAGGTGGAATTTATCGTGTCGCGGCTCATAGAACAGACAATGGTGACCGTCTGTTGCAAGTATGCTCAGACAACCGCCTATTCTTAGCAAACACCAACTTTAGGCATAAGGAAAAGCATCTGTTGACCTGGCGACCTCCAAAGTCGTCTCAACGTTGGACGCAACTAGATCACATCGCAATCAGCCACCGATGGAGGGGTTCGATAGAAGACTGTCGCTCGTTCTGGGGCACATGTTTGGATTCAGATTATGCCTTAGTGCGAGCGCGTATTTGTTTGAAGCTTACTGGTCGTAGGAAAGACACCGTAAGAAAGCCCCTTAGGGTTTTACTTAATGATAATCAAGCTAAGAAAATATTTCAGGAACAACTAGAAAAAGAGTTAGGCAACCATGTGGGCGATTCCCATCCGGAGGCAGGTTGGAATGATATCAAAAAGTCTGTGGAAACAGCAGTGATATCTGCTAGTAAGGTAAACCATAAGCCTAGAATGAAACCGTGGATTTCAGTAGCATCCAACGAACTGATGGATGCTCGTAAACTCATCCCACCTGGCTCTGAACATGATGAAGAGCGTAGTCAGCTTAAGTGCAGGCTGATAAAAAACCTGCGCAACGACCGTGAAAAGTGGTTGTTGGCGAAAGCAAAAGCGATGGAAAAGGCATTAGCAATAGGCAACAGTAGACAACTTTTCCGATTTATCAAGTGAACTGGTATTAGTAATCCTAGTGTAAGTGAGACTAGCTCAGAAAAGGATGGTCTTATTATCCATTCTCAATCCAGGAGACTGGATTGAAGGGCAGAACACTTTAAGGATCAGTTCAACTGACCTTCAGCCACACTTCGGTTACCCGCGATCTCCAGTCATCCTGAATGGCAAGTCAACGTGAGCCCTCCGAACCGTTATGAAGTTGAAAAGGCTATAGGGAATCTGAAGCGAGAGAGAGCAACGAAACCCGATAGATTGACTCCTGAGAGTTTTAAGAATGGCGGTCCAGTTTTAGCAGCTAGATTGACTGAAATCATAGGTAGAATCTGGGAACTGGGCGTAATCCCATCTGACTGGTCTAAGTCACTGATTGTCCCAAAAGTCTTCTTGTGACAATCACAGGGGAATAAGTCTAACTAATATAGTTT